CTCATCGAAGTCCGGGATGCCAATGATGCCCTCCGTAAAGGTGAGGATGTGGGAAACCGCACGGGTGACGCGGATGATCCGGGCGAACTCCTTCACGCCCATGAAGTTGCCGAGCCAAGCGTAGCCCATAGGTTCGAGGTTGGGGTCGTCGATGAGGCCGGCCAGGACGAGATCGTCGGCATTCTTGTCGAAGAACGCCATGCGAGCCAGGCCCTCATGATTGACCTTTTTATTCTCCCAGGCCTTGTTGGAGCCGTAGCCCAACTCACGTTGTTCGCGGGAACGACCTTGATTGGGAAGATAAGCGCACGCCACGCAGTCCTGAATAGTGAGCCGCCTTCTCGTCCAGCCGCCCTTGATAGCGTGGATCGCGTAGGTGTCGTCCTGATCGAACTTGTCCACCATCGACGTGTAGCCGTGCTTCATGATGCCTTTGAGATTTTGGCGTGCCAACATGATAGCTCGGCCATCTACGCTCTGCTGTCCCCTCAAATCATGCGTTCCAGCGGCCTGGCGAATCTTCGCGGCATCCATCTCCCAAAGGCCCTTTCCAAACTGCTCTGCCAGGGCGTCCAAGACATGGGAGCGCTCACGCGCCATCCACATTCTGAAGGCACTCTGGGTGGCCCCACGGGTGACGTAGTAGCCGCAGTGGAAACACTTGTGCTGACCTTCGAGACGAAGCTTGCCACAATTGACGCACTGAATCTGCGTGATTCCCCTGTTCCATCCAGGACGCGGCGCTTGTGTTGCCGGTGCCGTAGAGCGGGTAGCCACTCCTTCATCAGGGACCACTTGCAACTGACCTTCAGTCAAACGGTTCCTTCCTGAAGGCGACACCTCGATGACATCGGCGTCGGTGTTGAAGCGAACGTGTAGAGGTGGAAGTTCAGGAACGATGTCCTCGACCTCCTCAAGGATGGGAACATCGAACTCCTCCTTGACCAATGGGGCTTCTTCATGCTCGACATCAGGCTCCTCTTGTACTCCTTGGAGGGGTCCCACGGCTTCAACGACCATGCTTCCGGAAGATTCGGCCTCCTCTACATGAGGGGCATTCTCTTCCTCCTCCAGTCCTTCGGGTCCATCCGCGGCAGACCACAAAATTTCATCGGTCCTTGTGTCGCGGATGTAGAGGACCGTGGACCCGGAGATAGCCTCTCGGCAGAGGACGCCTTCGGACCGAGAGTAAAACAGTCCAGCGCCCTGCCTGAGGGCCTCCATGGTGTTGATGACGATCTCCACGGGGCGATCGCTCCTCACGCCAGGGACATTTTCTCCCGGCCCTACCTCCCGGTCGGCAAAATACACAAAGGCATTCTCGGTGTGGTGCCCGGGGATAAAGCAGGAGTCCAAGATGGCGAAGGCTCGATCCTTGTAGGTGCGGTGGTAGAGCCTGCGTGGAATCTTCTCCAGGGGCAAAACCGGCCGACCTTCCCAGGTGGCAGAATGCTCATCCATCTCTGCTTCTGGGATCATGCTGAACCAGGCCTCCGCAAGGATCGAGTCGGGCACCCCTTTCATAGCATCTTTGGAGATGCCTTGGTTCGCCCGAATAAGGGTAGGGTACCCTTCTAGGCCGTAGTACTCGGCGAGGGGGTGGTTGCGGTCAATTCGCAGCTGGAACCTGCTGCGGTTGTCGTTCTTGACGACAGTGAGGAGCATCCCGAGGCCATAATCCTTGTTCGTCTTCTTGTTCCAGGCCTCGAGGATCTTCCTTGTAGAGCACCACAATCCATCGCCCTGCAGACCTGAGACGATCTTGCCGCGGACAATACCGGACAAGGCAGTCTTGTGATGCTGGGGAATGTGGATATACTTGAAGTTCGGCATCTCGTCCTGAAGGATGTCAATCCACTCGGCCTCACCTTCCGGTGGGCATAAATGGATTGTGTCCCAGTCGAGGCCCAGCATGTCGACGAGGCACCAATCGTCATCGGTTGTGTAGTAGCCGGACTTGATGGGCTCGTCGTAGGCAGCCTCGCGTGGGCCCTTCTTTGCCCGCTTGGGCGCACTGGACTCAGGGTCGGTCCGCTGACGACTGTAGACCTCCCCCCTGGCCAAAAGCTTCTCCTTAGTCTCCCGCGCCGTTGACGACGATGACGGAACAGCGACGGCCTCCCCTGGGCGGGGGGCATTTTCCTCGCTCTTCTTGATCATCTCGTCGTAGTCCTCGCGGGTAACATATTCCCCATCTCATAGGTGAACGTGGTCCTTGAAGTCCCGGTGGACAAAGTGGTTCGGCGCGGTGTCGGGGAACTGCTCCTGGGGTCCTTGGAAGTAGATGTCGTCCCACGGGTCAGCCTCGACAAGCGGCTGATGTGTGGGCTCTACTCTTCCTCTACGGAAGTGGTTCAGGAGCTTCTCCTCCACCTGCACGTCCACAGCGAACTTGACGTTAGGCTTTGAGACGTGGCCGTAGTTCTGCAGGACCAGGTCGATGTCGGCTTCCTTGAAAAAGGAGCATTGGTGACGAAGGACCATAATCCTGGCGGTAAAACCCAACCACCTCAACAGCTGCAAACGATAGGCGCTGTCCTCCTGGAAGTGAAAGTGGTCGAATTTGCGGATCTGGCTCGCAGGCGTATTGAAATGCTTGACGGCCAGCCCAAGTTGGGCGGCGTAGTCGAGCAAATCCGCCATGATGGTACCCCAATCGCGCGGGAGGTAGTAGTTGGCAGCGTCGGTCGCAGACGTGAGCAGCACAGTACCCACTGACGCCCGTGACTGTAGATCCGCCAACTTGCCTATCTCCCGGAGAACCTTTGGTCCAATGAACTCCCAGCTCCCCTTTGCCATGTGCGGGTAACCACGAAGCCACTCCGTCTTGCTCTTGAAGCCTGGGTCCAAAAACAGACCTCTTTCGCCGACGAACTCGTTCCCGTTCCAGATCATCATGAGGTCAATGCTCACCTGACCACTGGCGCCAGTTTCACGCTCCAGTTGGGTGATTTTTCCCACGGCGAGCTCAACGAGCCGCGTGAGATTCGCACCCCATGTAGGAATGTACTCAACGCCAAGATGATGTGGGAAGGCATTGCCGCGGTTGGCCTTGATGTCTGCCAGCAGATCTGTCTTCCAATTTCCTTCAGTGAGGAACGTAGTTGTAGAGTCTGCGACGATGACAAGGTAGCGCAAACGGCCTCGAGTAGACTCGGGCTGGAGCATGGCCAAGCCTTGATCGGTGAGCTTTCCGATTTTGGCCACCAAACCAGCCTCCCTGACGTCACTGAGGGCATATTCGCATGCCAGTGGCCGCGGCAAATACTTGTAGAAGTTGTTCACGCTGGCTTCATCCTCCTGGAAAGGCGCCATGGTGCGGTATTCGGAAGACAATGAAGTCTCCCATAACCGCCGATCCCACCACTGGCGCAGGACCTCCGTCGGTGCCACGATTCCAGCGTTGGTGGCTTCCATGTCCGGCGCGCAGAACTCTGCCGCGAGAATGCAGCAGGCAGCTAATGCGTTAGTTTGTTCAGTTTTGCGAGTGCAAACGTGTTTGTGGTTACACGAAAATTGTTGTTGTGCACATGCCGCATAATTAGAACGCCTATCGCAAAAGCTTTTCCAATCAATGTGGATGCAATCAGTCATGGCATGTGAATAGTTCTCACTGTCCTTAAGGTCCTGGCCTCTAGACTCGCCATGAACATGACTGCGATCACACTTGTGCGCTGCCAGCCGCTGCAATGGAATCGACGACGCAATGGTCCAAGCTTTCCTTAGTGGTAATCCTTGGTGATTCGTAATCCCCAACATGCAACCATCGCAGCGGTAGAACTCAAGTCCAAGGTCATTAACCATATGCTGAACATGGTCCCACTTCCAATAGTCGCAATCCTTAGGGAGTTCGAAGGCAACCTGTGGTTTGTACTCTTTGAGCTTCCTAATGAATTTTCGGAACTGCTTGAGGAGTTTGCAAAACAGTTCCTGACGCTGTTCCCACTTTGGGCTGTCAGGCGTCATGCGATTCCACGGACAGCCACCAGTACACGGAAGCGACGCATAAACTAAAATTGGCTTAGATGCTCCCCCCTCGTCGCAGAGGGTACTAATTTTCTGAACAATTGAAGTCAATGTAGAGTCTTTCAAGACGTCATCCTCACTGGTGACTCGCAACACATAACATCCTTGACGTGCGCTACGATCCTGCCCTAGTTTGCTGTTGGGGGAGCAACAAAACTCGACTATGATTCGTTTGAACCCCAACGGCCTCGAGTATTCTCGGGCAGAAGCAGCGCTGGCCGCACGTGGGGGCAGCCTGAATCCAAGCGACTTCAAAGAATTGAGCTCTTGATCTTGCAGTGCGTCTTGTGATCGGGAGGTGTACGCAACAATGGAGAAACGTGTTCCAGTGAAAGGTAACACACAGTGTAGATTTCGCGGATCAAAGATGATGGCTCGGTTCAGGGTGGACACAGCACGACCCTTAAGGCGCTTACCATTGGGGCCGACCCTAACAATAGCATCTTCAGATGAGACAAGGGGGTCCGCAAACCACAGTTCACCATCTTTGAAATCCCCAACACTGAGGGCAAAGCTCATGCTATCCTTGGCATTCCCATGGTCCTTGTGCACAGAGGCACTAGTACAGCTATTAAGCAACACCGAGTTCCATGTGAAGTCCTTAGGAGCATGGGCTTGTACAACTCCATTTAGGAAGCGGGCAATCTGAGGCCACCGACGTGTTGCCTTAGTCACCCCTTGCATTCCTCCGTAAGACCACTGCCCAAAGATATGGTAGTAGCTGCGATTGTCAAGCTTAATCATCTTTCGCTTGGTTTTGTTGGGGTACATGATCTGGGCTACACGCAACAAAGCCTTAGTACTGAAGTCACGGTCCTTGGTAAGCTCAGCTGCGACTGCGCAAGGATCGCCCGACGGCTTCACCACAGGGTGAGCATGAACGACAGGCTCGTTGATGAGATGAGCATCGGACTCGTGTGCCTTAGACTGCCGTCCCCCCTGAAGAGGAGCATCGACGTGCGCGATGAGCCTTAGAGCATGTTCCCATTTACCTCGGTCGGCGAAAGGTTTGGTAAAGATATCAGCTACTTGCTCTTTGGTGTCAACATTAATCATTTCGAAGAAGTTACGCTCGAACTGTTGTTTGATCCAAGCAAACGAAATGCGTTGAGTCCGATCGGTGTGACGTAGTTTTTCGCTGTCACCTTTGAGGAGAATAGTGATGGTAGCTTGGTTGTCCTCAAGGAGTTGAACAGCAAACTTGGGACTAAGGTGGACCTTGAGGCCGTTTAAATCGGAAACGCTTCGTCCATCTGCCCTACACTCACCATAACGGATCTCATCAAGTTCAGGATCAATGCGTGCAATGACGTCGTTTTCCCTTTGGTTAGGTTTGGTTTTCGGCCTAGCTTGGTAGCTGGCGGTCCTACTCGCAACCTCACGCCACAGGAAAATCCAAAGACTGAGGCTGGGCAGACCCTGGGCACGAATACCTTGGTTGGCAGCCACAACCTCACTCTCAGTACTTGAAGTGGTGATGCTGGTCTGTTTCTTGGAAAAAGCATTTAGGGGAAAGTAAGTATTGGGGCCTACCAAGTAAAGGGCACAGCCTGAAGTGGATTTACTGTCGTGGCTACCAGCGTGGTCAGCATCGCAGAACATCCACAACTTACAATCCTGAATGCGATCCCCTATGAATCCCCTCATCCGAACTTCAAGAGAAGAGTTTATGTAACTGATCAACCTGTGCAAAGCAACGTCACAGTCGCGAGACCACTTGGTGACTCTGGATGCCAGTGCCTGAGTGGCGCGTAACAAGTCCCACCTGGCCATTCTCGCAGCGAACAAAATCTTCATGAGTACGCGGCTAGCAATAGGTTGCAGCTTACCACTAGGTTCATTGTTCTCCAGAACTTTTGCTACCCGGTTCTCATGAAAAGGAGTCGCTACGTGCTTCAGGGATTTCTTGTCGACCTTGGCCAACTCACAGTACCTATCAACACATGACACCAAGAAATCCCGCATGTCGTAGTACACAACGTTCACGGGTACAGTCATGGAAGGGGTCTTTCCCTGACTGATAGATTCAGTGCTCTTGAACTTACTCTGTCGTGCTTCTCGTTTAGCTTCGGCTTTGGACCGCTTAGGTTTATTGTGCTTAGCTGCGAGAGCATGAGAAAAGTCCTCGTCACTGACCTCTGTGATAGGGAAATATGTTCTCCCAGTCCACCAACCTGATTGGTCCGCGGGGCCCCCCTGATTCAAGTCATCATGGATAGGGTCCCTACCATCATCAAACACCGTGATTCGTTGACAGCTTATGTGGGGAAATTTCGACACGTCGTCCTGCGTAGGCACATAAAGTTTCCTACGAGGATAGATGTGATGCCTAACGACTGCAGCTAACTCAGCGTCGACCTCCCAGAAGTCCTCTTTGCGGTTCGGCCGGACTTGGTAGTCGGCAGCTGGGCTAGCGTGCTTCTTGTCGAAGACGTAAGCAAATGGGTGGTCCTCCCGTGAAAGCTGGACCTGATTTTGCTCAACGTGATGACACCCGAAGTACCGTCCCAAGACCTCGGCTGGTTCCATGTCAATCACCTTAGCGATCAACTCCCAACCTTTGTTGATTTTGTCTTGGGGGCCGGCCATCTTGAAGTCATCAACGTACACAACAAGCAACAAATCTAGTTCAGCATGGTAGAATACAGAATGCCAAATGTCGGGTAGAACTGCAGTAAAACCAACACTCTCTAACTGTTCGGTACAGTACCTTTCCCAGATACCACCTGAGTCAGGGTGGCCGTACAAGGCGAGCCTGAGTGGGCAAACAGGATCTTCATACCCAGACCATTCTTTAGGCCATCTGTTTCGAGGGAGGCGGACCCACGTTTCGATGCCTTTAAAAAGGGCTTGTGTGTATGCAGCGATGCCATCAGCCTGCTGTTTGACGTACCCGGGTTGGCTACCAAACACATCTATGATTTTCCCGGCCTCCATACTAGCGGGGCTTGATCCTAGTTCGGCGAAAATGGCGTGATCGTGGTTTTCGTCCTGGACGTTGTTGCCCTGGAAAACACTACGACCCTTCCAATTTCTTCTGGGGGTGCCCGTCCGGGAGTTCATCCCCCTTGACCGAACAAATCTCAAAGATTTTCCCGAAATGGGCCTTGACATTCTTGTGTTTGGCTTCCGCGGCAACATCCCGGTACTCTCGAACCTTCTTTTCGAGCCAGCAAGACTTATCGGCAAGTTTCTTCCATTCTCGGTCCATGGCTTCTTTCGCAGCGGGAGTACTTTCGATTTCTTTAGGCCCGACAACCCTGGCAACAGCAGCAAACATCTCACTCGCAACCTGACCAAGTTTGGCCCAATACAAGGACGCCATGCGATCCCTATGGGGCTCGGGGTCAGGCTCGGCGATGACAGGCATGGCCGGGGAGTCTCTAAGGGCCTTGCGAGCATCTTCCTCGGCTTCACGAGCCTTCTTGCGTTCGAATCTTTCAATGTCAGCCTCCCGTTGTGCCTTGGAATACATGTGCCAAAATTCCGAAGGAGTATCAGGTGGCCTTTTGGAACCTTTCTTATCTCTAACCAACCTCACCCCGTCCCAGTTATACCCTTTGGGGACTTTCTTCCCGTCAGGCATGGTTTTGGGGCCATGTCTTGGTAGAGTAGATGAGGCCTTAGGCACGGATGTTGTTTCCTTAGAAGATCCGGGAGCATCCCTCCCCAGCCAGTCCTCCACAGCTCCGACATCTTCGGGAACATAGTCCTCGTTTTCCTTAGCCACTTGGTCCAAGTACTCGGACAAACGATCCTTCAAATCGGAGCCGTCCAAATCAGGCACACCGGGCGGAGGCAAAGGCTCGTCCGGCGAATCCCCAGGCGGGGCGCGTGGTCCGGCACCATCTGTGCCTCCCCACGAGCAGTCCTGATCTGAGAGGGTCGGCTTACGAAGGCTCTCCTGCAGTGCAAGCTGTTCGGATCTCATTGGGAATGTGAAATCCCCAGGCAACAACTCCATTCGCTTCGACCTCAGAATAGGAAAGTTTCCTATCTCGAACGCAAAGTCACAACCCTTGACGGGGGTGACGAGGTATTCCTCCTTCCAAACGAAGCCAGGCTGAACGTGGTAACCAAGAAATATTCCCTCAACACCAGTCGGCGCAAACTTAGAGCTCGCAGGAATGTTCTGTTTGGGGTTGTTCCAGTACAACACACGTGCACCAAAAGGAATCATGATCCCTGAAAACGGTTCCCCATACCTGGCCTCCCAGGGAACAATCCCGTTGTCAAGCCTCTTAGTTGCATTAAGTGCCATCGCGTGGTGTTGGGCGGCCAACGGCCAAAGCTTGTCGGGGAGACCCGCCTGAACAAGGTTGGAGCGGGTACCCTCCAAAATCGTCCGAATTTCTCTTTCGATTACCGACTTGTTGGTGTCCACATATTCGCGGGATGTAACATGTCGGACACCTAGGCTTTTGATAGCGGCATGAAGTTCAGGTGCGTTGTCTGAGTAGAAAACGCCAACTGCATCTTCTTGACCTAGGAAGTGAAGAAGGTCTTCAAAACACTGATCGCTTGACTTAGTCGGAGAGGGGTAGACGTAACGAAATTTGGTGAACACGTCCTTAACAACAAGTGCGACCCTTTCGTCCTGGAACCCATGATCACGAAGGTCACGAGTGATAATATGGTCAACAGTGATGTGATCCCCAAAGGCCTTGGACACAATGGTACTTGAGCCCCCCTTTTGCGGGCTTGGGGAGCCAACATCTTTGCGCGCTGACATACCTCACAGAACGGATTCTTGGGCCTGTGCGAGAACAAGTGCTCAACAGATTTGGCTTCAGCTTTCAGATCGGCCTCTGCAAGACTGCGGGCGTTTCCTTCGTTGTCACTGTCAGGTTCAACGTCGGGGTCTTCGAAGATAGTGAGGCTCAGGATTGGATTACCCTCCAGTCGGGCAACTTTGTTGTCAAGCTCCCTGACATTCACTTTATCCTCAACCTTGACCCAAGAACCTTCCCTGAACAACCAAGTAGATCTGACTTCGCATCTTGGAAACCTTGGTGTAGCAGTACGAAACGTCTTTGGTTTGTGTCCGACAATCAAGTACTTAGCATTTGGGTGCGAAACCCAACCTGGTCTTTTGAGCTTCTCTTTGGGGATATCTATCGGCGGCACCTCATTGATGGCTGCGGAGATCTCAGGATCGGGGTGCTCGACCGCTGGATCTCGCTCCTCTGCTGCTCCTGCGAAAGCCTCGGCCGGCCCTATTGGGCGGCAGTTTTCTGAAAACCCTCGGACAAAATTGGTCGTCCGAGAGAACTTGAGGCTTCCTCCTTAGTGCTTGGAGCGGCCATTGCTCCTCCCCCTAGCACTGGGACCATACCTCTCATTCTACACCTTAGTCTTTGACCATTGGGCGCAACAAAGTAAGGCGGCCTTTTGGGGTACCAGTGGAACTCATAACCGTCCTCCATGCACCTTCTGCCTACGGAGCAAACAGGAGGGGTGCTGTTGAGAACATAGAACCCTAGCTCTTTGCCAAACTCCGGGAAGTCGATCCTAACCGACTTGTCACCTTTGACGTTACCACTAGCGGTGATGAGATTCACTTGTCGTGTTGCATTGCCTACTGGCTCTTCGCCGAAGTACATAGCACGATCAGCATCGCTGATAAGGTCCTCCTCGCTTCCTGTGTCAGCAAGGAATTCTAAGGGTGTGGCGATCCCTGGACAAGCGATCTCTGAGCTCTCAACGACGTGCTTGCACATCCCACACATGAGAGAATCAGGCTCATCACACTCTAAGTGGCAATCGGTCTTCTCTCCCCCCTCATGCCGGGCAAGAAGCATCTTGAGTTCCCTTGCGTTCCTAATTGCAACCTGAAGGTCATTAGCGTCAGGCTTAGGGCAGTTTTCCGCATCAGCATAGCAAGTATTGTACCTGCGGACTTTGTAGGAATGTTTGTACCCCTTTCCCTCAAAAGGGATTTCCCTGACTTTGGGCTTGTCGCAAAACCTGACCTTCTTGTTTTGTTCTTTGATCTTGAAAACAGTCTTGCCGGTCCACGGCATCTTATCGCCGGTTCCCCCTCTTCCCTCTTTCCAGTCCCAGTTCTCCTTTGCAGTGTATGGAGAAACGGGAAGCGTCTTGATCACTTTGGCCTTACCCTTCAACCTTTCAAGAGCAACAGGACATGACACTTCGGGCTTGTACATAGTACTTCTGTACTTCAGATGGTGCCTAACAGCTTCACCCCTTTTTGAAGTCTACTTCCCAGTAGTCTTCGTCCCCATCTTGTGGTTCACTCTCATCAGGACCAGCTGAGGCTGCAGCCGCAAGCGAGATGCAGCATGCGGCCTTCCTATCCTTTTCCTTAGAGCGTCCACGGCTTGGTTTCCTGCGCGTTGGCGCGGGTGACGGGGACCTTGGTTTGTCTGGGCCCTTAGGGGCCGGGGCTGCGTTTTCACCACCTGGGGGAGCAGGGCTCGGTTCCCTATGCAAGAAACGACACTTATCTCCCCTAGTGCACTTTCCCTTCTTCCAAAACGTGCAGACCTGTTTCTTCTTCGGGGCAGTGCGAACAGGGGATTGTGAACGTGGTTTGTGCGAAAACTTGCACTTGTCACCCCTGGTGCACTTACCCTTTTGAAAGTCGTAGCAAACTGGCTTTGGGCTTTGCGATCGGCTAGGTGATCTAGATCTGGATGGGGTCCTAGAGCGAGACCTTGACTTTGAATTGGACTGGCTACCGGCAGAGCGATCCCTTCCGCGGCCGCTCCTCGACGGAGGGCGTGTCGGCCTTCCGCCTTCAACAACAGGAGCTCCAAACTTGTCCCCATGTGACTTGGCGATTCTATCCCTGTTCTTGCGCATCCTTTCGCGGGTCAGCAAATCCCGGATTGACTTCAACAAGAACGCATAGGAGTGTGAGGCAGAACCCTCTTTCGCCCTGTCGTAGATTTCCAAATCATACTTCATTCTTGAGGACTTTCGGATTTGCCGAAGAAGGATGTCACGCAGAACCATTTCTTCTGGGACATGACTCATGCCAGCAATGACTGATTCCCAATTGTGCAGAAATGTGGTTAGATCGTCACTATGCAGTGTAACCTTCAAAAGGTCTTCTACCGAATAGAGCGATCCTACCTCTTCATTTGTTTTGAAGTACTGATCAAACATGAGCAAGACCTGGCGTCCTCGTACGGCACGTCCTTGAACCGCCTCGGTTTCCTTGAAAGTGAGTACCTGTCGAGATAACTCACCTTTGGCGACCTTAGTGAGAGCGGCTAGGATTTTGGTATCCAGCGTGAGAAACTTACCGGGTTCACGAAGCTTGTCATGATCAGCATTCTTAGAATACACCTCTAGAATCCAAGAGAAGGCTTCATCTGGTCTATCTGAAGCTGCCCTAACTGCTTCCCGTGTTGCGGTTTTCCATGCACGGTAGGTTTCGGGGTTAGGGAAATCCGGCAGGCGGATGGTTTCAGCTTCTTTAACCTTTGGTTTGTCATCTTCACCGCTTTTGTCTCCTTTAAGAAGCTTGGCGGCTTCAAGCAGCGCTTGCTGCGTCTGTGCGATTAAATCGGCTCCTGTGGCTGCCGGACCTCCCGGCGTGCCTGTTGGGGCCGCAAGACCAGGGGCTCCGGCGTTCCACCCACCACTAGAGAATCCTAGATTTGGGACGTTAGCTGATGCTGTTGGGGTCCCTGGGGCAGAAACCGGACCCTGTGGTCCTGTTGGAGTGGCAATAGTTGCCACACCGCCAAAACTGAAGTTTGGAAACAATGCCCTGATGTTCATCGGAATCACACTCGGATCTGAAAACTGAGGGGCACACGGAGCACTAAGCCCGGCGCTTGGCGCTGGAGCAACTGGGGCAGTGGCGCTGGGAAACTGAGCTTGCTGCGAGGGATTGATACCTAAATTCCTGTCCTGTTCGAGCTGGAGCGCACGCTCCATTGATGACAATTCATCTTGGAGGGTCATGTTTTGAATCCTCATTTGCTCTTCAGTTTCCAGGGCTATACTGCGGTACCTTTTCATTGCCTCATCATGCTCTCTCCCAAACCATTCCCCAATCTCGTTAATGCTTTCCCTCTTGTTTTGTTCAGCCTCTTCAACCAGAGTTGTCCTGAGACGTGTGATTTGCGAACCAACATCGGAAAAATGTTCTGACTGAAAATTGATTATCTGGTTTTGTTGCTGGAGTTCTGAAAAGAGACCTTGGGTCCTCGCGACAAAGCTATACCTTTGGCTAGCAATTTCAGACTCAAGTCTAGCAACGACTTCCTCGTGCTGCCTGTTAGCCCTTTCTTCAACATCTGCGATTTGTTGATCATGGGCTTCTTCAGCAGCTAGGCGGAACCTCTGGTGCCTGGACTCTGCTTCGTTCTCTAACTCAGTGAGGAGAAGTCTTGTTTGTTCAGGTGTTTCACCTATCGTGATGTTCTGCTGAAACTGTTGTCGGTACATGTGGATCTGCGGAGCTCCTAGTCCTACGAAAGGAGAAGGTGCGTTTGGCGCAAACACATTAGCTGCCGCTGCGTTCTCTTCCAGCACTAGGCCACGGCCATCCGTAGACGGTGGCATAGCCAAAGTGCCTGAGAGGTCCATCTCCGCGGATTCTGCGTCTGTAAATCCGTCTGTACCGAGATCAGTTGCTACCTCGGTGGGGACCAGCTCGGGGCTGTCACCCATGCACTGAGTCGAAACTCCAGGTCAGTGGTGCCGCAAGCTCCGGGGAGCCTACGGCTGATAACCTATAGTTTGGGAAATCCACCAGTTGTTATCCGTTAAGCCATGAGCAGGGGCGCGCCTAACCTTTTTTACTCAGAGGGCTTGAGCGGCGCAAGTAAGTGCAACATACATGGAAGCAAAAGTGGAGGGAATGCACAGATATAAAATACAAACCCTAAACCCTGATCCTCCAGAGCCCGAACGGAAGGCAAACTTCGCCCTTGCGCTTCACATGAGCAATATATAAAACACAACTCCAACCCTAAACCGTAGACCCTGACACCCT